TATACTGTAAATTGTAATGATGACAACAGAAGGAAGTTCCATATTTCATTTTTTTTCCTCGAGACCTGCTCAAGACTGTGGTAAGTCTGATCTCTTTAATATCCGTTTTATTTTCACGCTATCTTCATACTAATAGCCGTTCCGTACGTAGAAGACATTCTTAAATAGACGCCATTATTTTTATGGTTTTACGACGTGCTATGTAACTAGCTTAATTTAAATATCGATATATAGATCAAGACTTGCCAACAGGTTAAAAAAATCACAATTCGTTTATTGAAAATACTATTAAAAGGGGTAGAAAATCAACATACGATAATTAGAGTAAATTATAATTACACTAAGCCTATCGTTTTTACCTCCATTCGATGTGAACTTTCAAAACCCTAGTGTTCTTTATGAACCAGATTGTTTTAAATTTGTGTATATGTATACAACAATGGTCTATTTTTGCATACGTTATTCTGGAAATAATGTCTTTCTAAGAGTGTATTTCACAGTACATCATTAGCAATGTGTGTGTGTGTTTATTAATGATAGCTTTAGGTTTTTTTTTCATAACACGACAATATACGTGTAATCTTAAACTACGTACAAGTGTAAATAGTTTATAACTCGACTGTGTACTTCATAGTAACTTTGGTGTGAGGGGTGTAGGGTTGGATCATGATTCATTTACTGGTGTGAGGGGGTGTAGGGTTGAATCACGGTACATTTACTGGTGTGAGGGGTGCAGGGTTGAATCACGATACATTTACTGGTGTGAGGGGATGTACGGTTGGATCATGATTCATTTACTGGTGTGAGGGGTGCAGGGTTGAATCGCGGTACATTTACTGGTGTGAGGGGTGTAGTGTTGGATCGCGGTACATTTACTGGTGTGAGGGGTGTAGGGTTGAATCATGATTCATTTACTGGTGTGAGAGTTGTAGGGTTGAATCACGATACATTTACTGGTGTGAGGGGGTGTAGGGTTGGATCATGATTCATTTACTGGTGTGAGGGGTGCAGGGTTGAATCGCGGTACTATTTACTGGTGTGAGGGGGTG